GTAGGCGAAGGGTTTAGGGATTTGTACGTGTCTGTCGGAGTTAGAAATGCGGGGGGAAAGACCCCTTGGACTCGCGTGCTTTTGAGAGGGACGTTTTCAAAGTGTTGTGGGATTCAGGGGGACTTCCAGCGCTGTGTGTTTGTGGATTAGTGTTGCTGTTTGTTAGTGTGTTAGGCAGGGGAGTGTTAAGGAGAGAAAGAGCTGATAACAAATAGCGCTAGGCCATGCAGACAATTAGGACACACTCGTGGGATTATCACCAGAAACAGAGCAATTATAGCTGATCCGTACATCAGATTTAATTGATTCATAACGTCAGATGTCTCCCATATTACGTGGGTAGATAGGGGGCTTTAGATATCGGAATATATATACGCCGTGTGACAAGATAGACTGCAAACGTGACTGACTTTTCAGTGTAAAAGGATACGGATATCAACCTTACGGGACTTTATACTTGACTCGCGGCGTTAAAGTCTCGGGTGGGGGGGGGGGGGCGTAAACGGAATATACATAGCATAATGTTTGCACTTTGACCTTCACTAAAGATCATGTTGAACTTCTCAGCATAATATAACATTACCTGTCATTCGGAATTTAGAAGTTTAGTTTATATCATTGTGTATTCTTTGGGCCGTATATACAAAACAAACTTCTCATGTTAGATGTACTCTGAACTTATCTTTAGATATTTTGTATCCATACTTCAGAATTTTTTTGCGCGATAGTATGAGATTATGAGGGGATTCTTGCTTATTTTATGGGTAACTTCACCTTCATAAAACGTGCTTACATTGGTGAAGAAAAGCGATTTATAATAATGTTCAAAATTCCAAGCCGACATTTGATGTTCAAACAAATACAGAACTTCGTGGGCAGTAGAAACTATCACAATATTAGTTCTTGTTTTGTTTACGTTTGGTTCCGCTATTGCATCTCTGTATACATGTTGTTGTGTATTTGTTTGTGTGTTTCCAACCCAATAATGAGGATGCGTGAGTGTGTTGACTCAGTAACTCCAGTCTTCATGAGTAGCTGGAATTACCCATCGCCAAAATACATAAGATAAAATATCAGACTGAAGGACTTATCTTCTTTCAGTGTTTTGTATCATACTTCACGTCACATGCAGTGGAAGTTTTGTCATCCGTCTTCAAAATATCTCAAGTGTTTTTTTTTTCTCTCTCTATAGATTGGTTAACTCTTTCAATCTCCTCTCTTCTCTCTCTCTCTCTCTCTCTCTCTCTCTCTCTCTCTCTCTCTCTCTTCTCTCTCTCTCTCTTCTCTTTTCTTTTCTTTTCTTTTCTTTTCTTTTCTTTTCTTTTCTTTTCTTTTCTTTTCTTTTCTTTTCTTTTCTTTTCTTTTCTTTTCTTTTCTTTTCTTTTCTTTTCTTTTCTCTTTCTCTTCTTCTCTCTCTTCTCTCTTCTCTCTCTCTCTCTCTCTCTCTCTCTCTCTCTCTCTCTTCTCTCTTTCTATATATATATATATATATATATATATATATATACTGTGTGTGTGTGTGTGTGTGTGTGTGTGTGTGTGTGTGTGTGTGTGTGTGTGTGTGTGTGTGTGTGTGTGTGTGTGTGTGTGTTATATATAATATATATATATATATATATATATATATATATATATATATGTATATATATATAATAATATATATATATATATATATATATATATGTATATATTATATATATATATATATATATATATATATATATATATATATATATATATATACATATACATATATATATATATATATATATATATATATATATATATATATATATATATATATATATATATATATAATATACATATACATATACATATATATATATATATATATATATATATATATATATATATATATATATATATATATATATATATATATACGCTCTCTTTGTCTCTTTCTTTCTTCCTCCCATTTTACCTGTCTATCTTTCTTTGCTTATTAGTTCATCTGTCTCAATAGTTAGCTGGCTATTTGCCTGTTTTCCTGTCTATCTATGGGTCTGTCTTAACTATCTGCTTATCTTTCTTTCTATCTATCTCTGTACATTTGTGTCAAATACACCCCACTACAATCCGCTCTATCGCTCTTTGCCTCTTCCTCTATTCTTTATTTCTTCTTTCCCAATCTATCTCCTTATGTACGGTTCAATCTCCCCTTCTCTCTTTCCCTTTCCTTTTTCCTCCCCCTTTTCTCTCTCCAATCCCTCTTTCTCCCTTCTCCCTCTTTCCTCCTCAACTCTCCCCTCCTTCTCTCTCTCTCATTATATCCCTCTTCTCCTTTTACTCGTTTCCCTCTCATTATATTTCTCTTCCCCATCCCTACTCTCCCATGTCTCTTCTCCCCCCCCCCTCTCTCTCTCTCTCTCTCTATCTATCAATCTATCTATCTATTTATTTGTTTGTCTGCCTCTGTCTATCTATCTATTTGTGTATCTGTCTTCTCCATATATCTATATATTCATCTATCGATCTGTCTATATATCCATCTATCTATCTATTCACCTGTTTATCTATCTATCTATCTGATTACCTATCTATCTACCTACTTATCTCTCTCCCTTTCCCTTTCTTCCCAATCTTCCACTCCTTTCCCCTCCCCCTTCTCCTCACATCTCCCTTCCCCTCCCCTCCCTCTCTCTCTCTCTCTCTCTCTCTCTCTCTCTCTCTCTCTCTCTCTCTCTCTCTCTCTCTCTCTCTCTCTCTCTCTCTCTCTCTCTTCTCTCTCTCTCTCTCTCCTCTCTCACTTCCCCTCATCTCTCCTCCTCTTACCTCATCACCCTTGTCCATCCTCCTTTCTCCTCCCCTCTCCTCATCTCCCTTAACCTCTCCTCATCTCCCCTCACCATCCCACCTTTCTCCTCACCTCCCCTCACTTCACTCGCCACGCTTCATTACCTAAAATAAAGAGTTCACGAACACACACAGCCCTCAGAATGGGAGTCCCTCGAGAACCTGCATTCAAAATTTTCTTTTAACATTTAAGGAGAAGAAATAAAGAGGTATGGCATTTTTTCTGGATATGGGGGGGTAGATGGGGGGGGGCAGGGGGGGGGGGTCTGTAGGGAATTTTTAAAGGGTTGTTGTTGCTGTTGGTCTTGTAGTCTGTTGTCGTTATTCTGTTAATTGTTGATCTAATCTAGCTTTATTTGTTGTGTGTGCTCATTCTTTTACTTTTATTTTTGTTCGACACTTCCCTCTTTATTATCATTTTTTGTACTCTTATTCTTTTTTTTCTCTCCCTTTACTTTATTACATTTTCTTCTTCCTCTTTTCCCTTTTCCCCTTATCTTACCCCTCTCTTATCCCTCATTCGCTCCCTTCCCTCTTCCCCCTTTCTTCTGTTCTCCTCCCTTCTTCCCTTTCTTCTTTTCTTCTATCCCCTCTTCCTTCTTTCGTTTTCTTTTCCCCTCATTCTTACTCTCTCTCCTTTCCCTATTCCAATAGAAAAAAGGGGAATCGTTCACAAAAGCACTTAATATTTTTTTCTACTTGACTAGAAATATAGGTCTGTATGTTGTGAAGTATGTGTGCGTTCGTTTGTGTGTGTATGTGTAGGTTTCGTGTGTGTGTGTGTGAGTTTTGCCGCGTGTATGTGTGCGAATAAGTAGGTTTATTGATATCCGATCGTCAATAAAATTCACCCGGTAAGCGAATAACTGCAATCCCGCTGGTAAAGGACCAGGCCCCCTTCCAATTAGTCTCATTCGAGGAGTCGCGAGTGCGAATCATTTTCTCTAACTTTTCCGCCACTCTTCCACAATCCCTTTTAAACAACAGAAAGAAGAGATAATAATGATTAACGTCAAGAACAAAAGGAAATCAAGATGATGAAAAACGCGAAATAGAACTAAATAATACCGCCGCTTTTTCAAAATCTTAAACAAAAGGGAGAAAAAAATAATAAATGATAAACAAGCAAAATAATATAATAAACAAACTGGAAATAAAAAAAAGAAAAAGAAAAAAAAAACACGAAGCGAATCTCCAACCTTTTATGCCATCTGTGTTCCGCTCTCTGCGCCCCCCCTCCCTCCCCCCTTCCCCCCCTCCCCCCCTCCACCGCGCGGGCAAGACGGGGCACTGTTCGCTTCCCTCCCGTCTCTTGTTTCACGGTAAATATTACTTCCCACCAAGGACACTCAGCCTTGTTTGCCCGCTTTCCCACTCGGACCAATACAGAAAACTGATGAAACCGACTTACCGGAGACAAAGTTGCTGGCTCTCCTTTCTGCATGTCCTTTTGAAGGCCGCTCTTTGATGAGCTCCGCGGGAAGCTATTTACACTAACTCGCCGACTTGAAAACGGATTTGGTTGGTTATTTTTGTCTACATGCACATAAGATTAATTTATGTATTTATATATATATATATATATATATATATACTATGGGCGATATATAACAGATATAATATATATATAATTATATGTATAAGTGTGTGTGTATATATATATCATCATATGGGTATATCAATGGCATGTATGTATAAGTACATACACATTCACTGTCACATTCACTACGGAATAACACATACCACATTCACTGTATGACCCTTAATTAAAACCCCCCCGGACGTAACACCCAGACCTAACCTACGCCGACGCGCTACCCCAGAGCTCATTACCCCCCCCCCCCCCAACCCGCCCTCACCTGGTTATCAAGTCCCGACAGGTAATAAGGAATCGCGGGGTTTATTGGCCTTTATTTCGATACATGCGATCCTCTCCGCGAAGCTAGTAAAGGCTTATACTTCGTTCCTTTTCTTCAGTTCTTGTTGGGTCGTTCTTCTTTTTTTTTCCGTCGGTCACGTGGTAATAGATAAATTATTTGTTTTAAGGCGTTCAAAGATAACGGTTTATCACTAATATGATTTTTTGGGGTAATAGCTCATAATAATAACTATTTCAGTTATTATGATATATTGTTTTCATATTCTATCAATTTAATTAAATGATCATTTCGGTCAAACTTTCTCTC